GCCTAAGCCAGAATTAGGACACGCACAGAAGTGAAGCGATCGGAGAAAAGGACAACTTCGAGAGAGGTGGCTGCAAAAAGAATGAAAACAGGAGAGGAAATTAAGAAATGAGAGCGAAACCAGAAAGGGACGTGAGCGCCAATGAGTACTACGAACAAAAGCAGGAACCTTGAAAACGAAGGGGCGCCCGGGGCGGGCTCCGTCGGTTGAGCGTCCGACTTCGGCTCCGGTCGTGATCTCGCGGCTCGTGGGTTCGAGCCCCGCGTCGGGCTCTGGGCTGGCGGCTCGGAGCCTGGAGCCCGCTTCGGATGCTGTGTCTCCCTCTCTCTCTCTCTCTCTGTCCCTCCCCTGCTCACGCTCTGTCTCTGTAAAGGTCTGTAAGGTGTAAGGAAGGCAGAATTGTCTGGATGTTTGGCACCAGGTACAACAGCCTCACGGACGTCTCCAGGGGTTTCCACGTGGCCCTGGGGAGGAGCCATGTGGTGGCTCTGAACACCCCTCCCAGGCCACCCGTGGTGGCCAAAGGTGGTGGCCTCCAGCCCCCTCCCTGACCTGCGTTTCCCCTCTGCTCTGGGGCTTTGGGTCAAGGTGCACAGGGACTGCTTCCCTTATCCTCTGGGATTTCCAGACCTTTCCCCCAAACCTCCTCTTACATTCACACAAGCCTCGATTTCCACATTAAGGTCCTTATTTCTGGAACACAAGGAGAGGGTCTGTTTTCTTTTCTTTTTTTTTTTTTAATCTGTATTTACTTTTGAAAGAGAGAGAGAGAGAGAGAGCATGAGCAGGGGAGGGGCAGAGAGAGGGGGAGACACAGAATCCAAATTAGGCTCCAGGCTCTGAGCTGTCAGCCCAGAGCCCGACGTGGGGCTCGAACCCACAGACCGCGAGATCATGACCTGAGCCGAAGTCGGACGCTCAACCCACGGAGCCCCCCCCAGGCGCCCCTCTGTTTTCTTGACCAGACTCGGGCGGACGCTGCTTTCTGTAACAGAAGTGCGGCTTGGGGACGAGAGTCCGGAATGAGGTCTCTGCCCTGGTTACATTTAAAGGCACCTCGTTGCCAGGAGTGAATGGGACACTGGTATCCACACACGTGTCCCTCCAAATCAGTACCTAAACAGTCACCCGCAGTCACGTGGAGCCTGTGCAGCCACACCGGGCAGACTCTAAGCCACGGGTGGGTGACAACCCAGTGAGACCAAAGAACAGACCTGGAGACAGAAATCGAGACACAGGCTTATCGGGGGAACTTACGTACAGGGCGTCCAGGAACGGCCGACCGAACAGAGCACCTGCTGCGGGGATCTGGGGGCCGTGAGCTTTTATACCCGAGCAGCTCGTCCCCTCCCTCCTTCGTGGCCAGCCCTCCAAGGACGTCAAGGCCCCCCGGACATTCCTCATTATGAGGGAGATGCTCCGGGCTGGCCACCCCCCGAGCCCCTGACCTTGAAGGCGGAACAGTAAGACCTTCTACATTCGCTGCTGGAGGGGAACACAGAGGCATGATGGGATCCGCACTTTGTCAAGACAGTGATTAGCGGGGGCGTCCGGGCTGTGCAGGCCCGAACCCGCCTTCCAGCAAGTACCGTAGAGTCAAGTGCCTCCAGGGGCGCCTGGGTGGCTCAGTCAGTCAGTTGAGCGACCGACTTCGGCTCAGGTCATGATCTCACGGTCGGTGAGTTCGAGCCCCGCATCGGGCTCCGTGCCAACAGCTCCGAGCCCGGAGCCTGCTTCGGATTCTGTGTCTCCCTCTCTCTCGGCCCCTCCCCCTCCCCACAAAAGTAAACATTAGAGAAAATTCTGTTAAAGAATTTCCAACAGCGCCCGGGTTTCTCATTTTGCTTGGAAGGAGAGATGGTCAGAGATGTGGGTCGACACCGCCTCGTTGGCGGGGTCTAAGGGACCGGAGGGACTCGGAAGGAACGCTCTTGGTCACAGGAGGTCTGGGGAGGAGGCACGGGCAGGAGGGAGCGGTTTCAGTGGGCACAAAGTGTGAGGCCAGCTTCACAGAAGAGGCCCCCGCAGTCAAGTGGACAAGGTGACGCCCTCCCATGTGGGTCGGCCTGCGCCTTCCGCCGCCCTGCTCCGCGTGGCTCCGCGCCTCCCTGCTGTCCCCCCATCCAAGCTGATACAGCTCAGCCGGGGCCAAGAGCCGGGCGCCCCGGATCGGACACCCTTCCCCAGAGGACGGCCAGCCACTTGGGTGGCAGGTTGATTTCGGCGGACCCCTTCCCCTGTCGTGGAAGGGACGGTTGTTTTTCCCGGAACCACCACCCGCCCTTAGCGTGACTACGCCTGCCCCACTTGCAAGGAATCCCCGACACAATCACCGTCCGTGGACTTGAGGAAACGCCTTGGTCCCCACACAAGTCATACAACCGCTTCTGCTCGGGGAACTCACTCCTGCACGAATGCAGGGCATCGGTAGGCTTTTGCCCACCGGACTCCGTCCCGCCTCGTCTCCCATCATCCTAGGTACTGCTGAGTGAAGGGGTGGCCCTTTTGATGGCTGGGTGCCAAAACTTTGCAGGACCCGAGGATGCAGTCCGGGCTCTGAACCAAGAAGGGGGTTACGATGCTGTCTGGGATGCCTGGTCCTGGGGCCTCGCAGGCAGTAGGGAGTGTGTGCCTGGACCCCAGGAGAGCCTCTGAGGCTCCCCTCAGAGCTCCCATGTCCCGGTACGTATGTGTGGGGAACCCCAGCAACCCCCAAGAGGCGGGCCCCCCGAGGGCGCAGAGGGCAAAGGGAACGGTCTGGGATGGGCAGAGGGAAAGGAGGCCTCACCTGTCCCACTGGAACCACAGGAACAAGGGCTGTGGTAGGTGTGGATGGGTTCTTTCCCCGTCTCCCTCCTGCGCCAGCTAACAGAGAATGTGTTAGGGGCACCTGGGTGGCTCAGTCGATTAAGCATCTGACTTCGGCTCGGGTCACGATCTCAGGGTTCATGAGTTCGAGCCCCGCGTCGGGCTCTGTGCCGACGGCTCGGAGCCTGGAGCCCGCTTCGGATTCTGTGTCTCCCTCTGTCTCTACCCCTCCCCTACTCTCTCTCTCTCTCTCTCTTTCTCAAAAATAAATAAACATTAAAAATTTTTTTTTAAAAATGTGCTAACAGTGGCTGCCCCGTGTCTGGTATTCCAGTTACAGGATCCAGAAGGGAGTGCGGCTCAGCCGGAAGGAGCGAACACCACCACCCAGAGATGGGCTAAGGGGCCTTTAGGACCGGAGTGAGCCCTCGAACGCTTGAAACTGGAATCACCATGTGACCCCGCAATTCCGCGTCTGGCAAATCCCCACGGGAAGGGAAAGTAGCGTCTCCAAGAGACTTTGGCAAACAGGCCCTCACTGTGTTCACGGCAGGGCGATTCCCGGCAGCCAAAACGTGCGAGCCAGGGGTCCACCCACGAACGACCAGATGCGCACCACGGGGTCGATCAGAACCCCGGAGCAGTCGTCAGCCTCCGACACCTGCCACGACCTGGACGGACCTCAAGGACGCTACGCTGAGCGGAACAAGCCAGTCGCGAAAGGACGGACGCTGTGTGATTCCGCTTCTGTGAGGTCCGCCAGGGTCACCAAATTCGAGGCAAGTGGGAAGGTGGCAGCAGGGAAGGGTGGGGGAGGGCTGGAGGGTGACCGTTTCACGGAGACAGAGCTTCCATTCTGCAAGACAAAAACCTCTGGGGATGGACGGTGGGGACGGTCCCACAGCAGTGGGAATGCGCTTAAATGCCACGGAACCGTGCCCTTAAAACGATTAAAATGGCAAAGCTGGATGGGGCGCCTGGGTGGCGCAGTCGGTT